ATATCATCTTTAAGCACTATTTCGGTCAAAGTTGATGGATATGTTTTCCCAGCTTGATACAGATCTGCATCTACTTTTCCTTTGGCTCCTGGTTCCACAGGGAAAATCAGTATCTTTAACTGACAGATACATACATACACATGTAAAGCCCAATAAATTAGCCACTGTTAATTTTGTGTTACCTTTTCGCCTAGTCATCAACCACCAATAAATGAAGATGCAAATAAAAATGGCAACCAAACCCACCACTATTGGAATGATAATAATCAGCTTTTTGTCTTTGTACTCATCTGAAAAAACCAAATATCAAATTACTTATCTTAGACTCACTTAATCAATAACGAGTTCATAAACTTTATATGGCAAGTTATCAAAGACAACAGAACTATAAGTACCTAGTTCTGAAGAAGCTAGACGAATGTAAAGATCTTCACCAACGTTAGAAAATAGCTGAATGTCAACTAGTTCTTGGCTCCAGAACATACAACCAAGATTCGCGTCGCGTGCATAGGCTATGCACGAGCAATTCATCGAGCAGAGACTTCTACATTCCTCTAACGGCCTAGAGGGTCCCTGTTCTGGAAAATCTGGCACTTTCATATAGGGGAGCCTCAAGAATCCATCTTCTTTGCCACCACTGCTCGTATTATTATTTCGATCACAGAGCAATGGTTTCCTTCGGACACATCCGCCAGTCCAGTTTCGTCTTCCCCATTCCTCGGAATTCTTTGGTTCAAACCCTCTGAGACAAGAACAAATAGGCCAACTCAGAGCATTGCAACTCCCAAATGGCCCACAAGTCCCATAAACATCACATTCTTGACGAGGAGACAACCAGGTAATTTCCCAATTCTGTGTCTGATCATTCCACAACGTTTTAACCAAACTCCCCGTTGAATTCAAAGTAATTCTCATCAAGAATTTCCCCTCTGGCGCAGTGAAAGAGTAAGTTCCTGAACGATTATTTACCACAGTGAATTCTTCACTGTATACAGAATACATCTCTTGTATACCAAGTAGAATCTGCCCATTCCATGGACCACTTCGCCAGTGTGGACGATTCCCATTCCAGGTATAGATTTGAGGAATATTCAGAGCCTGGAGACCCACTGAGAAATCTCCAACTTCTGGATCCGTCGGGGTTTTCCATGAGGACAGGACCACCTTATTACCTGTATTGATGTTGTCAATTAACCTCAAAGTAGGCAAAAAAGTATTGGACGGATGTCCAAAACTCTCCCACAACGTACGCCCACTTGAATGATCTCGCAAAACAAGATTTCCAGTGTTCAAAAGCTGGGCACTGGCATTAACTGAAGATGTAACATTTGATGACCAAACTATCTCACTTTCTCCATTCATTAGTACGATATTCCCATCTCGTGATATCGTTATATTGCCGGAAGAATCTGGAATTGGTTTGTCCCTATTGGCAACCCATATCACTGTTGATTCAGAAACGCTGTAAAATACACCAAAGTAGCGGTTCTTGGTTGTATTATCAGGGGAAAAGAATCCCAATTTGAAAACGTTGCCGCTCGATGATATGGTGTCGGGGTCTTTTAGGACAAGGTTTTTTGTAATAGTGTCTGTTTCTGCACAAAATCCTAAACGAGGAAGACACAGTAGCATGAATAGGTACTGAATAACAAAAAGCTTCAGGATTTGACTATTGGACATAGTTAATTCAAAGAAATTTGTGGCAGAAAATACCATTATGTGAGTAGTTTGCTAATAAGTAGATAAAGGGATAGTATCTGTGAGTTTTTGATTCTCACTATATAAAGCCATTGAGAGACTCTCAGTCAACTCCCAGTCTTTGCTTTTCGACATTGGACCGGGGTGTGAAGAAATTACGTTAATAGTTATTACGTGCTTTTCCTCCTAAGCTACCTAAACAACAAGGCATTCCATGGTGGGGGCAACATCGAGCCGGGTTACTCAATGGGAGTAGGGCAAATAGATACAAGTAGTGTTTACTTTTTTTTTTAATTGAACTAATTCGGCCCTTATTTGACAACCATTAAAATTTTTTTTTTTTTAAATTCATTTTCAACCACGCATTCACACATTAAAATATTTTTCATAAAATTTAAAATTTTTTCTCTTTTTAATCACACATTCTCCAAAAAATTCATTTTAATGGTTGTGAAATATGAACTTCACCACCACTTACGTAAACCATATTTAAGACTCTTTCCAAGAACTCTCAGCCTTGGTATCTATTTTGTAAAATTTATGTTTGGTCTTTTTTATTCTTTTGTGCAATAAAGTTAGTTGATTTATGAGTAAATTAGGTTTCACTTTCTATATTTATGAGCAATTTCGTTTCAACCTTCAATATAAGACACGATGTCTTATTTTTAATTATTCAAAAAGAAAAAAAGACATTAGCCTTCAACCATTGACTTTTAAGTAGGGGTTGGTTTCAACTTACAATACAGATTGATTTGATTTATTTTAGGGAAAAATTCACTTTATCTTTACCCTATTTCAAAAATATCAAAACAATTTTTACATTTTAAAAATCAGAAATTTTGACTTATACATACACATTTATATAAATATTTATTTATACATATAAATA